TGCACGTGGACCATGGGCCGTGTTTAAAAGAGAAGAGAATAACCAGTGAGACACAGTGTTGATGTACCCAGAGAGGTGCAGTTGCAAAGCTGTGCCCCAAGGATGACCTTGAACTTCTCCTTTCCAAGGCAAAGAGGAAAAGAAGTGGGGACAGAGTGGCCTTGTTCATGTCTGAGTTGAAGCTGAGAACCTCTCTGCCTAGTGCTGTCAGATTTGGCCATGAAATAAGAAGTAGGGGAGGGGGGTTGGCACTGTGGCACAGTGGATTAAAGCCCTAACCTAAAGTGCTGGCTCCCGTGTGGGCACTGGTTTTAGTCCTGGCTGCTCCTCTTCTGATCCAGCTCTCTGCTATGGCCTGGGAAAGCAGTAGAAGATGGTCCAAGTCCTTGGGCCCCTGGACCCGCGTGGGAGACCTGGAGGAAGCTCCTGGCTCTTGACTTCGGATCGGTTCAGCTCCAGCTGTTGCAGCCATCTGGGAAGTGAACCATCAGATGGAAGACCTGTCTCTCTCTCTCTCTCTCTCTAACTCTGTCAATTAAATAAAATAAATCTTTAAAAAAAAAAGTAGGGGATAAAAAGTCCCTTTGCCGGTCTCTGGGGTCGTGGCTGACACCCCTGTAAGAAAGAGCAGTGAAGCAGAGAGAAGCAGGACAGATTAATTCACCTGGAGTTAGCTGTGACATGGGAGCCTTCAGGAGGGCAGACCCAAAGCCCAGGGCACCTGCTGTGTCCCTGAGGATGGCCGTGCAGAAGTGCAGTTGATGGATGGATGGGGATGACCCAGTGATAAATGAGGAGAACTCTGCCTGTCCCGCTGTAGGGCAGGACCCCCTGGGAGGAGGGTCACAGCACCTGCATTCCAGGGAGGCAGCTCCCAGGTGGGTCATAGCGCCTGCTTCCTAGGGAGGCAGCTCCCAGGAGTTCTCGTGACCACGCGTCAGAGCAGAAAGGCACCGGAATGTTCTGAACTCCAGCCAAGGAGAGGTTGTCTCCTAGGAGACTGGGACAGAATAAGGACTGGGATTTGAAGCAGCTTGTGGGTGTTTGGGATATCGGGCATGGGAGTAGGGCAGGTTACCCTTAGGTGCAGGTGAGACTTGCGCAGCCTCCGGATCCAGCTACAGCTGAGTGCTGTGAGTGTGCCCCGGCTTTGTTGCCTGTGTGTGTTACTGCTCTGTCAGTGTGGAGTAGCCTAGAAGAGGTAACTAGAAGAGCCAACGGGACGCCTTGCAGGGCGGCTGATCGAGAAGGGCCCGTGGGGAAGCATTGAGCGACATCCCAGGGGTTTATCAGGAAGCTGTCCGTGGGCTGGAAGTGCAGCCAGAGGGCAGGGGCCTGCGTGGAAGAGCTGCTGCTCTCAGAGGAAGGCAGCGTGGGAGCTCACAGGAGAGGAGTGGGAAGTGTGCCTGCGGGGTCTGTGGGTGCACGCTAGGTCAGGCATCAGCAAACTTCTGCAAAGGGGCAGAGAGGAGCTGGTGCAGCTTAGTAGGCCGCGTACTTTGTGCTCACTCCGGCGGCGAGAAGACAGAGAGTAAGTCGACAAGTGGGCCTGTACAACTTGAGTGACAGCAACCAGCAGGGGGCTGAACTGCTGGCCTGTGCCACACGTGCGGGCGACAGCCGTCTCCGGGAGGCGGGTGAAGCGAGCCCAGGAGAGAACTGTCCGAGACCAGGAGTAGATTGTGTGTCGACTAAAACCGTGGATCTGAGCAGCATCTGTAGAGCATCCCACCCAGCGACTGGAGGGCGCACACACCCTTCTGAAGCCAGTGAGGGGCCCGCCCCAGGCTAGGCCACATAGAAAACCATTGTCGACTTAAAGGACTGAAGTCATCGGAGTCTGTGCTTCAGTGACGGTCAAAGAAAATCAGAAATAATTAACAAATTCAGAGAAGATGCAAGTAACTGAAAATTAACACTCATGAATAACCAGCAAGTCAGCGAAGAAACAGGAGAGCTTAGAGGTCTGAGATGACTACAAAGGAAGATACAACATACCAAATACAGGGCGCAGCTAACTGAGTGCTTGCGGGGAAATGTGCAGCCATAAGTGCCTGGGTTAGACAAGCAGGATGGTCTGAAATCAGCAGCTTAAACGTCCACTTGCAGATGCTAAGCACTTAAGCAGAGCAAGGAACAGAAACCAAAAGGCTCTGAGACGGGTGGGGAACAGAGCCGCGGTCCGGAAGCTGGCCTTAGGCGGAACCACCTTGGCTGTGTAACCGCGTGTGGGAAAGCACTGACAACCGTGTTTGCTCTTGGGAGACGCAGTGCCTCTCTGCTGCCTTCTCCCTCTAAAGCCAGAGGCCAAGTCACTTGCAGAAAGGACAGGAAAATGCAGAGCTGGATGTTGGAAGAACGTGAAGATCTGAGGTGGTTTGCATGTGGGATGACTGCATACACGGTCCTGGTGTGCAGTGGACTGGAGGACAGGATGCAAAGTGTCTGACTCGCTGAAGGTCTGTTTGAGGCTGGCTGTCATGAATTCCTAAGTAGCCGTTGATCTGCCTGTACTGTGATTGCTGGAACCACATTTGGCCATGTGAGTGAGGGCACGTAAAAGGCAACGTTTGTACCCACGTTGCTCTAGGGGTCTTGCTGGAGGAGTGGGATGCAAAGCAGGGACTTTGAGGACATTGCAGTGATAGGCCATGGCCAAGAAACTGGATAAGGAGAAAGCTGATCTACTTAGAGGCAGGTGGAGGGGTCAGTTAACCTGTGGGCATAGCTGGTCAGATATGCAAAGCAGCTCCAGGAAGTCCGAGAGTTTTGGTTTTGTTTATTCCCAAACCTTTGTTTCCTCCGGCACCTGGATGAGTAGCTTATGGGGTGATCATTTCAGAAGCGAGTTGGCTTAGTGGGGCATTGGGGTCAGACTTGGTTGCTTGGTTGTGTGAGGAAGCCCATGGTGAGTAACAGTTCGCATGTTGGGCAGTGCACACACAGAAGTTCTCAGTAACTATTACCCTGTGTCATTATGCTTCTGAACTTCTATAGGAACTGCTTGTTTTCAGAGAAGTTAAGTGTAGAGCCCTGTCTGTGGAGGTGGACCAGTTGCCCATCCCCAAATGACTGTCACTGAAGACCTGTGGAAGGATTAGGAGTCAGACCTCAGAGGGGAAAAATGCAGACAAAATGCTAATAGAAACTCCTGCCCTCCTCTTCACGTTAGCCTGGTGGCATTCCCAACGCCAGCAGCTCCTGGTGTTCACTGCTAGAGCCTTCAGTGTTGGGTTTAGTGTGCTTATCACTGGTGTGGACGCTTTGCCGTCTGCTTTGCCGAATCACCGTTCTGAAGGTTAGTGACCTCCCAGGAGGGTTTGCAGGGTCTCCCCTCTGCTGTTTGTCTAGTGCTGGCGTCTCCTTCAAAAATAGGGGTGACTGATGGCAGGAAGTTAATGAGGGGAGATTAAAATGGTCAAACACCGAATGTTTTTAACAAGCCCAGTGTTTCCACGTTGGATCTTGGGGTGTCATAAGCATTGTCCTTCCTGTCTTTGTTGGCCTCCTGGCCTGTGTCAGCTGTCTTTTTGGAATGACCTGTTTCTCCTCTCATGCTCTATGCTATAATGACTTGCACATAGTAGATATTTAATAAGTCTGTGCTGACTGATCTTTAATAATAAAGTGAGCAGTTCTCTAAAATGTGCTTCCCGCCTCCTCTCTGCCTGGAGAATTTCTTTTATAATTTAGTGCCAATACCACCTCTGAAATTAACCCCAGCTCCTGCAGGCAAAAGAATCGGTCTGCATCCATCAGGGAGGTCACGCCTGCCTCCCATCAAGCAGGTGTTGCTGTTACTTGCTTGTGCACCTCTTTCTCAGCCTTGCCTAGCATCTTCTATGGGGCAGGGACCTGGGCTTGTTCGTCCTTATTGTCTCCGGTGCTTTGTCCTTGCCTGCTGCATATGGGGTGCTCCAGAACTGTGTAGTCACAGGTGTGACTGTGTAAACAGGCTGCAGGCTTAGGTTGGCCAGCCACGCCTTCTAAAGATTCGTGCCTCCGAAAAATTTTCTTGGGGTTGGTTGATTGCTCTGTGATCCAACCAGGGTATGAGGTTAACATGGAGGAAGGTTAGCCTTTTTTTCTATGTCTGCTTCTTTTAAATTAAGAATAGCAACACAGTTAATACTCGGTGTGTATTTGCTAAAAGTATAGATGTCCACCAAGGTATTAAGGTGAGTATATTTGGATGGTGGCATTTTTGGTTTAACTTTGTGCTTTAGGCATAATTTTATTTGCTTGTTTTGAATTTTCTATTTCAGGATAGAGGAGAAACTGTTTCCACAATTTGATTGATTGATTGATTATTTGAGAAGTAGAGAGACAGAATGAGCTCCCATCCACAGGTTCATTCCCCAACTGCCTGTAATAACCAAGGCTGGGCCAAGCCAGAGCTGGAAGCTGGGAGCCCCATTAAGTTTCCCATGTGGGGGCAGGGACTCAACCACTTGAGCCATCACCTGCTGCCTCCCAGAGTCTGAATTAGGAGGAAGCTGGAGTCAGGAGCCAGGGTCCACGAGTTGAATCCAAGCGCTCAGCTCTGGGACATTGAGTATCCTAACTAGTGTCTTAACTGCAAGATCACACACCCAGCAACACAGTTTTTTAAAACAGAGGAGACAATTAAGAACACTTAATTTTTTTTTTGATACATTTTTGCAGTCCGGTTAGGAGGCACCAGTCTGTAAATTGAAAATAAATCACAGTGGTTTGGGAAAGCAAAGGTTACTTCGCTCCACAGCAGCTGAATTCGGCCACCCCAAAGCCCTCAGGTCGCAGCCTGCACTGTGTCCGGTGCTTCCAGGCTTGACGTAGGAGGACGGGGGCGTGGAGGAGACAGGTTGGCCAGCACTGGCCCAGCTCAGCACGAGCCACTTGCCTTGGTTAAAGGCACTTGTCCCAGGGCCCAAAATCAAGTGGGAGACGCAGGGCCGCACACAGCATGCATGGGCGCCTGCTGTGCCGCACACGTGACCATGACTCTGTTTCTTTCCCAGTTACTGCGATGAGTGCATGCTGGACCCAGACTGCGGCTTCTGCTACAAGATGAACAGATCCACTGTCGTCGACTCCTCCTGCCTTCCTGTCAATAAGGCGTCCACCAGCGAGGCAGCCTGGGGCAGGTGAGTCCCTCCCCACGTGGGGCAGGAGCACGCGGCCGGCGGGTTGTTCAGGTCTGCGCTCACCCAGGCCTCCTAAGCAGTCTTCATGGGTGAAGACCTGCTGGGGGTGGGTGCAGAGCACTGCGGTGCGTGCTTCCTGCACTGGGAGGGCGCAGACTCGGGCCTCGCTAGCAGAGACCCCTGTCGCAGACCTGACACGGCCCCGGGAGCTGCCGGGGTATGCATCCTGCATTGTAGGCCGATGTCTCCCCAGCCTGCCCGGCAGCCTCCCCCGCTGCACACTGGCTACTTTGCCACACTGTCAGCTGCGAACTCCCAAAGCGGAGGGGACAGCAGAAAACCATGAAGTCGCGGTGAGCAGATACCACTGTAGATGGTGTGTTACCTACAGAGCTTTCCCAGGGATCCGTGAAATTCAGCAAACTAAGGAGAGAGGTTGCTGACCCTTGGTGTGTAGGCCGTCCCTGAGCGCGCTGGGTGTGCGAATAGGCACAGATGGAATGTGTGTGTAGACTCAGTACCGTCACAGTCACAAACGTGAGGGACATGGCTTTAACCTCTTTTATTTCACATTTGCATTAAAAAGAACAGTATCCTCTCATCCCGCCTACCTCATAGTACTTCTCTAAAGGCAGTAGGATCTGTGATAAAGTCCTTGTTTTGTAGAAGCTTCATTTGTTTATTTATCTATTTGAAAGGAAGAGCAAGAGACAAAGAGAGATCTTCCACCCACTGGTTCTCTCCCCATATGGCCAGGTCTGGGCCAGGCAGAGCCAGGAGCCAGGAACTCCATCCTGGTTTCCCACACAGGTGGCAGGGGCCCAGGCATTTGGGCCAGCATCGGCTGCCTTTCCAGGCACATGAGCAGGAAGCTGAGTTGGAAGCAGAGCAGCCGGGACTTGAACAAGCAGTCTGTCCGGGTTGCCAGTGTCACAGGCAGTGGCTTATCATGCTGAACCACCGTGCCAGCCCCTCTAATAAAGTACTTCAATTTTCTAGGAGCTATAAAATATAATGTATTAATATCAGTCACTATGCTGGTGTCATTAATCATTTTACTAGGAAATTTCCCCAAAGTAGTAAAGTATATGGTAAATAACTAAAAATAATATAAACTAATTTTAAATGCGCTCATTACAAAGGACTATTTTTTAAATGGAGTTACTATTTCAGAAACTTAGAAGAGCTTCTATTAAAAGCACCTAGTGTATAATTTCATCAGCCAAGCTTCATTAGTGAGTGAACTGATTACATATTTCCGGATGTACTAGTTGACAGCTTCAGACCAGTAGGGTTGTGTTTTTTTTCCAGCAGGGGAAGAAAATAAAACTCTGGCAGTTACTAGCCCAGAATTATGACTGTTACGAAATTTGTTTAGCAGTAATAGACGTGTGCAGTTTCTTGTCTATTGCAACAAATCCTAAGTAAATCTAGTCGTCACCACGCAGAACCAGTGTAAGTAAAACTAGAAAACAATAACTTTGTATCACCCCTGTTATTTAGTAGTGAAAAGCCAGCTTCATATGAGCAGATTCATATTGGAAAGTAAGGTGTGAGGGTCCACAGCGCAACAGCCCCACAGGAAGTCAGGGAGTGGGGCCGCGGAGGCGGCCGGGGAGTGGGGCTGTGGAGGCGGCCGGGGAGTGGGGCCGTGGAGGCAGCCGGGGAGTGGGGCTGCGGAGGTGGCCTGCGGAGTCAGCAGAGGACACAGTGCAGAGAAGTGCTGCACGCGTCCAGCTCCTAGTGCGGAGATCAGAGGAGAGCCCTGAGCAGGGCTCCCCAGCGCCTCTGGAAACACCATGGACACTTTCCTAGAGCAAACGTGAGAGCCTTGAGTTAGCTGCCGTCGGCCCCCTCTCAGGGGTGAAGCTGTGGAGTACTAGAAGGAGGCACGCTCACTTCCTGCACCGATAGCCGTGGGGCGGCCTGGCCTTTCTGAGCCCCGCTCCACACCTGCTAAATGGGCACATCTCATTGCCGTGTTGGAAAACACGGTTGCTGTGACGATGAAATCATAGCATACTCAGACAGTTATAAAGACATCCTGTCCTGTGCAAAAATGGCCTGCACTAACACCCTTTCTAGATTAAAGGCAGCACTCCCTAAGAGACAAATGCGTTAGAATCCTAATTCTTGGGGCCAGCGCTGTGGCGCAGCGGGTTAACGCTCTGGCCTGAAACACTGGCATCCCATCTGGGCGCCAGTTCTAGTCATGGCTGCTCCACTTCCAATCCAGCTCCCTGCTATGGCCTGGGAAAGCAGCAGAAGATGGCCCAAGTCCTTGGACCCCTGTACCCACGTGGGAGACCCAGAAGAAGCTCCTGGCTTTGGATCAGCACAGCTCCAACTATTGCAGCCAATTGGGGAGTGAACCATCAGATGGAAGACCTCTCTCTCTCTCTCTTTTTGCCTCTCCTCCTCTCTCTGTGTAACTCTGACTTTCAAATAAATAAGTAAATTAAAAAAAAAAAAAGAATCCTAATTCTTTGTGTCCTCTCATCTCCCCCATCCCTCCTGTCTCTCTGTAAAGATAGAACCATAAATACTCTCTTCCTGACTGTTGTGTAGTGTTTACCAATGGGGGATGCTTCGTTTCCTGTAAAGCAGCATTTTAGCTCCGTAATTAGAACGACTGAAATAGCCTGATAGGTTCCCTGTTCAGCAATGTGTTGTTCGCCGTATTCATTCAGCAGACACTTGGCGGCAGGCTGCAGTGAGACAGCCCCTGCCTCTTCCCCGCTGGGTCTGCGCTCCCCCTGCGGACGCAGTCAGCCTGCACCCCTTGCCGTAGCTGGAATAACCGTGAGGATTTCCTGCCTCCCTGCCTCCCCTCATGCCGTGCTTTCTGCCTGCAGTTGATGCCCCCTCTCCTGCTTCATCCCCGCCTGAGTTCTGTCCATCACTTTGTGCGGATCAGATGCTGCTTGTTCGTTATGGTCTCTGGTCAGCCCCCAGAAAGAAGCCTTCCCACGCCCTGGACTTCCAGCCCCTGCAGGAGCCTCGTGATGGCCCTGAGCGCGGCGACAGGCGTCAGGACCTCAGAAAGGTCCTGCAGCACCAGCACCACCTGCCGCTCAGCTGAGTGACATGGGCTGGTCCTGGGTCCCAGGAGACAAGGCCACCTCTGCACACGGGCAGCTCCCAGGAACCTGAGGACGCCGCCCGCTCTTGTAGCCGGAGCTGCACCTCTCTGTGAAAGATGCCACCAAGTAACTGACCTGGACTGCAAGCAGGTCCTGGAGAGGGAAGAGTGGGCTCCACCGGCAGACTCCCGACAGGCACGCCTCTGATCCCAGGCTGTGTCTGGCCCCTGCCCCAGCCTTCTGTCTGCGGTCACTGCCGGGCGACTGCTTGGCATCTCATGGGTCTGAGAGTCATCTTTGATGGGCATCAGACCAAGGGGAAGGTGGTCAGTAGCCAGGGTCACCGACAGCCCCTGAGCACAGCACTTGTCCTGTGGATCTGGTGGCCGGCCCACCTCCTGTGACAGTGCCCTGTGTTTGGGTGTATCTCCTCTTCCGCAGTGTCCATTCCATTGTCTCTGTCCTGGTGTTTTGTACAACATCAGGTCTCCAGTCAATGATTGTTAATATGAGGGTATGCCAGAAAACTCATGGGAAATTGAATTAAAAGGTAAGTTTATTTTGGTGCAAAAAAAAAAAAAATGCATAGGTTTTTTCATTGCACGGGCTGTCCGTGAGCTTTGCGAACTCCCTGTCTGCCGTGCCTCATACCCGTACGTTCGAAGTCAGCCCAGTTTCAGATGAGAGGATGTGCCACTCCGGTTGTTTTAGCGGCATCTTGCACATCCATACTCAGAAAAAGAACCCGTGAAATAAACAAAATGAGAGCCATGCGATTGTAATTAGCACAGTGGTTGCATGCTACTAATTTCAGCACTAAAGTGTTTTGAGGGTCCATCGGTGTGTTACTGCCTGTAGCCCTACTATGCGGAAATGCTGTTTAAAGTTATTCTAAGATGTGTTGAGCACTTTCCTCCGAGTATCCCCTTGGTGTGGCAGGAAGGCCACACATCTCTGGTGATGGTGTGAGAACGAGTGTGTTTCAGAACTTTGCCAGACAGCAAAACCAAAGGACTGTTTGCTTTGTAACTGCCTTTATTTCATTTTTAAGGAGATAGATCCATTTGGTGTTAGAGACATAAGCATGTATGTTGTCATTAACAAACTCCATCAGTTTCTTAAGGTCTCCGTGTTCAGGTTCCCTTTCGATCAGTCGTTCATATGAGGGGTAGGAAACCCTCCAGCCGTCTTCCTAAATCCCTGTCAGTGTTGGTCACAGGTAATTTTTGCCAGCACACGTTGATAGAGCAAGACGTGGAGTGGCCCCTGGAGAATATTTGAGTCCACCGTACTTTGTGAATTGTGTGCGATTCCCTGTGTCCCTGGAGGAGCAGAAGGCATTCCGCCGGGTTAGTCCCTCCGCGAGCAGCAGCTGCACATCGTGTGCCTGTCGGATTCCCTTCTCCATAAATAGCCGCAGATGCCACGTGCCTCTGGGTTATGATTTTTTCATGTCCAGAAGCTTGGATTTAGTGACTGTCTCTGTTGCAGGTTCTGATGTTACTTGGGCTGCAAAATGTACAAATCAGCAAACTGGAACATTTCTTCATAATTCGGCTCTCTCTCCCGTATTAAGTTGTCCAGTTTTGGCTTTTTTATCCTTTTTTATTAAAGAGAGTAGGTTCCATGCCTTCCATAGGTACAGTTCTAAGCAGACAGCCACGTGTGCCTCCCTCCGCACCCCCTCTCTTCCTTTAATCAGTTTTTGCAAAGGTGTGATTTGCGTCCCCCGTGTGGCCACAGGCTTGGTCCACCATGGATGCAGCTGGAAACTGTTCTGTCTGGTTTCTTGGATGATGTATCACTGATGGCAGAGATGTCGCAGCGTTTTTATCCAAGTAGTCGCTTTGCTACCTTTCATTTTTGGCTCAGATCTTAGATTTCTGGTCAACGTGTGTTCCCTTTTGCTTTTTATGT